GGAGCTTTTTCGAAGATCCTGCATGTTGTTATTAGTAGGTAAAGCGAAGACGAAGAAAGTGCGGTGAGGTGGTGATGGATTAGTTGCTGCAGCTGACGACCAGCGGTGATGTACATATTTATGTAACAAGTATGTGAATGTTTGCATACGTACATACATATGTGACTAGGAAGTAACAGTTGTGCTGTTGCTATGAAAACAATTTACCTACCTTTCAAATGCGAGCGACGGAACCAATACAACTGGGTCGGATGTTTCTCCCGTTATGAGTTGCCCTTCATGAGTTCTCTATTAACCAGTTGAGGGCTCTGGTGCCTCAACATCCACCCAGCCCCATGGAAATTTGGTTTCCCAGAGAAATGTTGGAATTGAACTCTTTTGGTAGCTTAGCGACTCTAGTTATCGCCCTTTTATGTATGCCCGTCGCTGTTTTTTCGAGAACAACGCGTACCTTTCCGTCTGTGCCTGTGATAGCTTCTACGATGCGGCCCACTGGCCATTTTAATGGGGGAGTATTGTCTTCTTGCAATAGTGCCAAATGATTTGACTTTAAATTTGGTGATTGTGTTTTCCATTTTTTCCGCTGTTCCAATTCTCACAAATATTCTTTGCTCCAGCGTCCCCAAAATTGTTGTTGTATCCACTGGGATAATTGATAGTGCTTTAGCACTCCCGGTTTTGACGATGAAATTGAGGGTTCTGGTATGCTGGTGAGTGAGCGACCGATAAGAAGATGGGCTGGTGTTACAGGACGCATATCGTCTGGGGAACTTGTTATGGGCGTTGGTGGTAGGCTATTTGTAATCGCTTCTGCCTGGCAACAAATGTACGCAACTCATCTTGCGTTAGAATATGAGCCCCGATGGCTCGGCGCAGATAATGTTTGGGTTGCTTCACTGCGCTCTCCCACAGGCCACCGAAGTGAGGAGAGCGGGGTGGTATACACTTCCACTCGATGCCTTCTGCACAGCAAGCCTGTTGCACTTCATCGTTATGCTGTTGTGACATGAATTGTTGAAGAAGCTCTCGAAGCTCGCGATTGGCGCCCACATAATTCGTTGCGTTATCCGAGTAGATAACCCGACACCTTCCACGACGAGCGATAAAACGCTTCAAAGCGGCAATAAATGCTGCTGATGTGAGATCGGGCACCAACTCGAGATGGACGGCCTTGGAGCTGAAGCAAATGAACACCGCAAGATATACCTTAATAGGTGATTTTCCTCGAATTTGTTGCGTCATTAGCAGAGGACCACAATAATCCACACCGGTTACTTCGAACGGAGAAGGTTGAGTTACTCTATCCTTTGGCAGGGAGACCATTACCTGTTCTGCCAACACAGGGCGAAAACGATAACATGTTAAGCATTTATGTATTACCTGCCGGATGGTGTTTCGTGCGTTAACAATCCAAAATCTTTCTCGTACAATGCTGTGTAATGCCTGATTTCCAGCATGAAGGTGCTGTCGATGAAGGTGGAGTATGGTTGTTGAAACGAAGGGATGCGTTTTTGGAAGCAAGATAGGATGTTTTCCTCGAATGGAAGGGTTGAGTTGACGAGGCGGCCACCGACTCTAATGAGACCGTCATGAAGGAAAGGTGACAATTGTGCCAACGATGACTTGCGCGATAATATGTTACTGGCTTCAAGTTGCTTTCGTTCGTCGGGAAATGTTTGGCTTTGAATAATGCGACAAATGGTGTATAGTGCGTTGTTCATTTCTGCTACGTTGATATTGTCGTGACGCTTACTTTTACCGCGACTTGCATCGATGAATCGTTGTACATAGCAAAATATTCGAAGAGCTTTGTTGTAATTGTTGACAAATTTAAGATCGGTGATGATGTCTGTATTAGGCGTTACTACTAACGCCGTTGGCTGCTTGCGTTGTTCTGGCAATTCATTTGGGCTAACTGCAACTTGTGGCCATTGCTGATTTGGAAGTCCAATGAAATTTGGACAATGGAACCACAACTTATATGCAGGCTCCGTACGCCTTGGTGCTTGCATCTGCAAATGCGTGAAGAATGTATTCAGTTCCAAATTGTACTAACCTGGTC